AAAAATCCATGCCTTATGACCTAGCTCACTTTATCTTATTAGTAGATTCATTTCTAGTCGTCCACCTCTCTCCTACTGGAAATGACAGAATCCTAAATCTCTCCAAAGAAAAGTTCCTAGTTTACTTAAATATACTATTTCCACCTTCCCATCTGACCATAGTATTCTAGTCAAGTTTCCCGGTTTCCCTGAGGTCTTGCGAAGTTCCTGTTACAATAGTTATTTTTACCATTTCTATCCCCCTCCTTCAGTTACGATAAAAGAAGTAATAGAAGTCACTTTGGACGACTGAGTCACATACATACATATTTACTCATGTATACAATCACTCATCTATACAGATCATTAAGAGAATTATAAATTTTGTAAAAGAATTAAAATGAGTATAATAGATTAAACATTTGTTATAATAAAATGACTAAAATTGATCTTTGGACCTTTGTATTTTAATTCATTCCTATCATCCTTTAGTTGATCGCCTGGTCCCGTCTTCGGTAATTTAAACTCATGTCTAAGACCGAAAAAGAGACCGACGAGTGAGAAGACGCTAGATGAGCAATAGCGGCAAAACCCCATTGGCTATCTGCATCACCAAAACTCTCGCTCGACCCGCGCACTTGTTTCGCATATCTCTCTGAGTCAGTGTGCCGGAAATAAACACACAAAGTGTCGCGTGTCAGTTACGTTTCTCTACAAAGGCCCAACCGTTACCATAGGCCAGGATGTAGCAGCCCGTAGATCACAAAGAAAAAGTTCGAGAAAGAAAAGTAGAAAGAAAAGTACTTACGCGAGATAAGCACAGAAAGCAAGCACGTATGCAAAAATCTCATAAAAAGAAGAAATATAAGATCAGAAGTCGTTAGAACGATCGCTGCGTTGCGCATGCTCAGAACCAACATCTTTTGATGAATCAGAAAAACAGGGATGTGTTCGAAGAACAGATAATATACTGTTGCCTTGAACGTGAGTTAAATTATTACTCACAAAGCAAGATGCTTCGCGAAATAATGGTTCAAAATGAAACGTTCGCGAAATAATAATGCATTAAATTTTATAGCATTATTTACAGTGTTAAAGAAAGATTTCGTATGTCAAGTACATAAGGACCAGTGGTGGGGATAAGCGGGCCGCAGCCGCTGCGCTCGGCGGCGACTCGCGCGCGTAGCGTCATTTTCAGCGCAGCGGCTCTTCTACTCCATATCCTCACAGTTTCAGATCTTAATATTAATAATGAAAGAAGCTGCGAATTTTCAAAAAAAAAAAGTATCTCGGCTTCTACGTAACATAGAATAAGGAATTTTTTTTAAATACGCGTAAAACTATCAGCTATCGAAATATCAAATCAGTATATATAAAACGATATAGTTATTAACGTCAAAGTTACTTCATTTGTTTATAAGCGAAAAACGACCATTATTTTCAACGCCACTTTGGGTGATTTTTATAACAATTTTGGTTAAATATCACTTGTGTGTGATAGTAAAACTCTTTCAGAACAAAACTAGACCACGCTGGTTGCTGTATCACTGTAAACAACTGACATAATTAAGTGCAAAAATAGGGTCTCCGGGCTAAACAAATGCATTTATTCACAAATTATATGATGTTTTGGTCTGAAATTTTGCACACGTTTTATGGATAGCAAAGGCCATATTTTTGATAAATCTCAAAGCTCTGTGTTAATTATTACAAAGGTTATTAACAATTGAAAAAACATTCATTTTTTGGTATTTTTTGCAATTATCTCGATAAATATTTGCTCGATTCATTCGATTAATAGCTTAAACAAAAGATATTTTCAATACCTACAACGTTTATTTAAAATTTTTTTCTCTAACGAGCAGTTTTTCCTCGATAAAAGCGAAAAACCCATTTTCAGCACTTTCAACCATTATGTGAAACAAGTTCCGGGAAAAATTTTTATATTCACGACAATAGGAATCCATCAGTAAAGCGCACACTAAAAGATAATGTAATCGGAATTCGGTTAAACATTTTTGCAAAAAAAGATGTTTTTTTTTTCCCTATTGACTGGATTAGCCATAAAAATGGCACCTTGCGCGCGCACAGATCTTGCTCGGTTTCTGCAGCCAATCTGCTGTCAGATTCTATGAACAGGCTCTGCTCAATTTTTGGCACCAAATTGAGACTTAATCGATAATAACAACTTGTGTACCAAATTTGTAACTTTTTTGCTGACAACAGTTGATAGCAGACACTTGGCATGATCTGCTCTTGACAGACTTGGCTATCTGGGTTTGCTTGTCTTTAGGCTTTAGAATTTTCAATTAAGAAAGTAATTTTCAAGTTTCAGGTGATGGAAAAAGTTTATGTTATTAGGAAACAATTTAGATTTCTTTTTTTCTCTTTGAGTTAAGGAATCACTATTTATAAAACCTAAAGAGATTGAATTTATCCAATGCTATTATAGATATAAGTACTTCTATATTTAGTCTTGGTCAAAGTTACGTTGCATTATCGCGAGTAACATCTCTAGAAGGATTGCATTTAATTAATTACAAAAATGCATACTTTCAACTTTGTTATATATATTATTCTGTTATATGTATTATTGTTATTATGTAGAAATACATTGCATTGTGTTGAAAGAAGTGTTAAAAACATTCTACAAAAATGTATGATATTCCGAAACAATTATGTTTTCAAAAAATAGATAAACAAAAGCGCCAAGTATACGCGTAACTCTAAAAAATACTCGTATCTTTAAAAAAAAGTATTACTATATTACTGTACTACATAAAAACTCTTTCTCTACGCAATTTATTCTATAAAATAAATTATATCAGAAAGTAGCGCCAAGTCTTGTACGTTTATACATTGTTACAAAATAAAATATTAGAAAACTATAAAAATAGCTTTGCGTGAAAAGTCTTAAACCATGTTAAATTACACATTTATAGACTTTGCTTTGTGTAAAAAGTCGAAAACTCATGTAGAAATTTTTAAAATAAAAAATATTTAATGCAAAAATCTTGGCGCGGCTGCACCGAAAACTATATTGACCTAAAGTTCAGTCTGATGATAGCTAGTCAATAGCTTTTTTATTAAACGTACGACAAAGAACGTACTTTTCGGCTTTTTTTTGATAAAATAACATTATTTTCTTTCGACAAAACTCATTTAACGGTAATTCTCAAAAGTATCGATAACACAGCCACACACACAAAAATTTTTTTGGCCTGTCAGACCATGTTTACTATATGTTTTTGGGGTCGCTGAATCCGAATCCGAGGTCCATTAAACCCTATCAGGTCGGGGTTCCGCCATAATCTCAAAAAACACCATAATCTGAGCTTGAAACCCATATAATCTTTTTATTCAAGCCATAAACACAAAAACCAATTAGATAAACCCCATAATCCCATAACCCTATATCCTCATAGCTCCATAAGCCTATCATGGCGATTAAAATGTCAATCATTCATGACCAAAGATTTCCTAAATTTATGGAATTAAATAAAATAATTCTATGACCTTGCATTCTCACTGTACTCATAACCATAGCTTCAACCATTGACGATGATATATGCAACATGTATATAGAATGGTGCTTCTGTTAGAACGAAAACATGGATTTCTGCTGAAGAAAATGAATCTGATAGTGAAGATAGCGATACTATCGTATCGAAGTATTCTCAAGATTGGCGTTGAATGATCTTATAGAAAACTTAGGTTTACCAAAAGATGGGGTTATGGGGTTTATCTAATTAGTTTTTGTGTTTATGGCTTGAATCAAAAGATTATATGGGTTCCAAGCTCAGATTATGGTGTTTTTTGAGATTATGACGGAACTCCGACCCGATGGGGTTTAATGAACCTCGGATTCGGATTCAGCGACCCCAAAAACATATAATAAACATGGTCTGATTCCCAGGCCAAAAAAATTTTTTTTTTGTGGCTGTGTAATTACTTGAAGAACTCTTATAATTAGAGCTACTCTTGTAGTGCTATGCTAATTGATTTAATATGAAAGTAAACTTTCATATGTAAAGTATATGAATAATTCATGTGTAGTGTGTCCTTTGTCTTTAGTTTTCGGTGCAGCCGCGCCAAGATTTTTGCATTAAATATTTTTTATTTTAAAAATTTCTACATGAGTTTTTGACTTTTTACACAAAGCAAAGTCTATAAATGTGTAATTTAACATGGTTTAAGACTTTTCACGCAAAGCTATTTTTATAGTTTTCTAATATTTTATTTTGTAACAATGTATAAACGTACGAGATTTGGCGCTACTTTCTGATATTTCTTTTGTAGAATAAATTGTGTAGAGAGAAAGAATTTTTATGTAGTACAGTAATATAGTAATACTTTTTCTAGAGATACGAGTTGCGCGTATACTTGGCACTTCTTTTTACCTATGTTTTGAAAAGGTATTTACTACTTAAGATATTATAAAAATTGTATCTTTGGCGACATAATAATAAGTCGACAAAAGGTTTTCATCTTTTTTCAAGTAGTTTTAAATAGCAGAAGCGCGATGGAATATGCTTGATTCAAGATCTACTAAATATAATATTATTTTATTATGTAACATATAAACAAGTGTTTCTTTACTAAAATTCTTCATATACATACAACATATGTGTGAAAAACTCACCGCCATAAACGACGATCGAGATAAATTACATCTTTCGAATTTTGATAGTTTCAGACCAATATTATTAACCATAATTAAAAACACAAGCGTACGTTTGACGAATATTCCATATAGATACCACCTCTCGTGGAACGCCTGATCAGTTACTTCAATACTCTAAATTAAAAGTAAAACAACACTATACGTGATACTTTTTAGTACTTATTTTGCATGCACTTTATCATATTTTTTATTTATCATAAATATTTAAATGTTAAAATGTGCGTATATTGCATATAACTTTTGTAAAATATCTAACGTAATGTCTCTTTCTCCCATGCTTACCGCATCTAATAATTGTTGCACACAAGAACATAATATGTAGAGTTGCATTATTCCACTAACACAGTACATGATGGCTACAAATCTTTCTACCCAAGTGCCTGATGGAATCTGAAAGTTTTTAAAAACATTTATTTCAATGACTGATATTGTCAGTTAATAGTAATATGTTATAAAATACACTTCGTGCAAATATAATAATAAGCATTATTGTATTTTTATGTTGTCTAGTAACCATTCCTCAAAAATCTATGTTTAGAACTACTCACACCGAAAGCACCATAATACAAATACAGCAAAATCGAAGAACGTTGTTCATATATATTAAACTGAAACTTACAGACAACAATTCTCTTATCATAAATGACACTCTGAAACACAAAACATGCAAAATGTAATTGTAATTAATCACAAAATTTTTAGTGTTAACAAAACTGTTAAAAAATACATTTACTTAGAGAGAGTATTATAATGCCGACATAAGATTTTGATCTCTTTCTCAGTATAATAATCCAATTTAGAGAAATGATTATTTTCATTTACAGTAATATGAGTACTCTGTGGCGCATTATTCTGAAATATTATTGCAAGCTTCATTGCGACATATCGATACTGTGCTGTAGTTATCATTATTATATTTATTATATAACTGTCAATGCCAACTTTCTTTGTAAAAATGTATGCACTGCTGACCAACACGATAAGACTGCCCATCACGAAAATGCTAGTTGAAAACGGCTCTTTGCTGAAGACAACAGGCATCCTGTAATCTTCATAGAAAAACATGTTTTTCTGAAAAATTAACAATAATGGTTCAACAGCCCACGCAATTATTGCCATTTCTCCCAGGAACCAAGACACTTTAAGAGGAACGTCTATTGGTTTCAGAACTATTATTACAGTATTTCTCATCAACTCGTCCTTCAGGCGTAACATAATATTCAGTTTCCGAATCAGTTGTAGCATCAGATCTTTATGCAGAGAAATTTGTATGAGAAAAAAGATCACTTCAACAGTAACTGCAAGACCGATCAAACCGTCTCTCAGTGCCTTTTCTTTAGACACTTTCATGCACCCAGCAGTGAGCACAATCGCTTGAACTATTTCGATTAACCACACTAAACCGCTGTATATTACCCAGAATACGGAAAATGATACATCATCAGCAGTCATCGGTAATAGATTCCCTGATATTAAATTTAACATAACATTTGTAGGATTCACATTTTGAAAATTCATGATCTTATTTTTTTCCATATGTGTAGTGACAATAAATCGTTCTACCAAATATAACAATTTATACTTCTCTTTCGACTTTTTCCACGTAGGCTCTGTATATGTGGAAGATCATTCATATACAAGATATTTCTTTTATCGAAATTAAAAGCGTAGACGTTAATACGCTCTTTTTACATTATTTATTATAATTCATGTATTTTGTAATTAGCACACAACCAATAACGATACAAAGAACCTTCAATTGCTATTAAATTACTGCTCACTTATTTCTTTTTAATTACAATATTAAAGTACTATTAATTAATAATAATTATTTGCTGCGTCTGTTTCAATACATGATTCATAGGTTCTTATTATATTTTTGTTTTAGAAAGAATAATCTATATTTGTAAATAAACGTCCCACAAAAGCAGAACGCAATATGAATAACTTTTGCACATTAAAAATGCTGTTGTGATATTCTTTGTAATTACTGCCGTATTGTGTACTATTCATTATCTTATAGCGTCTTGGAAATCACTATACAGTCAAGATCAAAGGCATACTATTTGATGCATATATCATTGATAGAAGAGTGCAACAGTTGCAATTCTACTTCGAGACAGTGAGCAACATTTTACAAAGTGTTATAAAGCGATCTTAAGGTTGTTCATCTAGCAAAGTAACACAACAGATCTACCTTGATGTGTCACGGGAATATTTTCACAGTAAGTTTTCTTTATTATTGTATTTATGAAAACGTTTAATGTGATGTAATCATTTAATAATCTAAATATATTTTGTTTTCAGTGCTTTTTAATGTTACGTCCTGGGGACTCCACGGGCCCCTTTTTCTTGCAACGTGACGCGCCGACATACAATAAATTCCTTTTTTTCTCAATAAATAACACGAACGGACTCGGACTTCGACGCAATAGACGCGCAAATAGAAATCGTGTCGACGCCCGAAAACAATAAACCGAGCCTAGCCACGATCTTAAAAATTCCTCCGTAGACAATAGCGAACAGAAACTTTTATTATTG